CTTTAAAGGGGTAGGATATCTGAGCTGTTCATTATGAGAACTGATAGATGGAGAGGCTTTGGTCTTGTTGGCAGGCTGAGAAAAACAAGACTAACAAACCTCTCATCAAGAAAGACTGTCCTTGAAGTCTGCTGCATCCTGACAACACCTGGACAATCATCAATATAGTGTTTTTCACAAGTGAGAAAAACAGTATTAGTTGTCCTTTTGGTGAAGTGTCATCATTATAATCTTATTTTAATACTAAAAATCCCATTCACAGGTCAAAAGACCCCTGCCCAGGTTGGGAGACCCACCCCATAGCATGTGTTATTAGGCATTTAGTTATGTATTCCTTGTGCAAATTAGCTGAGTTAGTAATATGAATTAAATCATATAAATATGTGAAATTAAGGAGGAGGAGAGAGGAAGTTAGAACTCCATTGTGACTGCTCACATCAGTTGATGGGCTGAACCTGTTTTCTCCCTCCCCATAGGGATGGCTGTTGGGTAAGACCTATACTCTATGCATGTTTAATGATTGATTTTTAGCTGGCTTCGTATATTATTTTCATGCTGCTTCTTGCAGTTAGTATATTGTCACCAACAATATAATTCTCAGTTAAGATTTATTTTGTGTGACTTTCCAGAGACTTCAACTGAGTTAAAATTGGCTTAAAAACTTCCTTAAAAATGTTTTACCTTGACGGGTGAATGTGCTATTATGTACCCTGAATAAGATGGTCAAATCACCCTCTGATATCGTGTGCTGTCTGCAGAGGGCTCTGACAGGCGAATTGGGCTCAAGGGTCTTTGGGGTGGTAACAAACCTGTCAAACTTACAGGTGAGGAGATGAAATCTTCCCCCTTACGAGGGGGGGAAGACCCCCTTAACGTGAGAGTGTTCAAAATGCACTGAAATTAACGAATGAAAATTGTAACTTTATTACAAAGACATTGCCCTTAGCTGAAAAAATCCTATATTTGCAAGTTGCTGTGTTGGTATATAGACTATACCTAGGGTATAGTCCTGTATAGTTGTCCTGTGTTTGTGCTCTACTGTTATTTATCTGCCATTAGTCATCGTCAGAAATGGGTGCTGACTCAGTATAGCAATTCCTAGATACATGTGATAAAATAAACCAAATGGTGTTAAATTCCCTTGGCATTTTCAGTACTAAAGCGCATCTTGTTTTGCTTAAAGAGATTTCTGATAAAGTCAGCTAAGCTAAAATAACTGTGTTCAGCTTTTTGTAGTGGTTTGAATTAATTTCTTTAAAACCACAACCTTTGTAAAGTAGGGAAGGCATCTGTTCTCTCTTACCTTGTTCATTAGCCTTGGCTTCATTCTTTATTTTCCTATACCACTACTGTTTTATTGTGGGGTTGTTTTTTAAGAGGTGTTCTCATCTGTCAAATGTAGTATATCGGTGTTGCAGTTAACAAGTGATATTCTAAAATCAAGGCAGCTGTATCATATCTGAACACTGGCTTTTATTCTGTCAGCTGTGCTAGGTTTTTTCTACCAGCTTGATGGTTATCCTGTAACTTGTTCTCTGTATTTGTCTAATATCTAATATGCTACTAATAGTAAGATGGGAAGTGTCTCCTTTTCTTCAGAGTAAGCATCTTAAAATATAATTTGGGACAGTCTTTTAATTTCTGACTTGATTGGAGAGTTTGTCTAGAGCTTTACCTTCAGGAGATTTGTCATTAACTCTGTCAGTACAAACTCTAATCAGTGGTGTGAAGTGCAGCTCACTGGGTTCTCATGCAGCTTTTGTTAGGTACAACTCCTTTTGTTAGCTACAGCTCTTGCTGGAGCTTGTTAGGCAAGTTTGCTGTATTCCATTTAAATAGTTACTACCATATTCCAGTCCAGCAGAGACTTTGTGCCACATACATGAAGTGGGGGATACATAGTGTGTGAATCTGCTTGAAAGGTGCAGACCATTCTTTTAAAAGTTCTAATGGCTTTATGCAGCATAAGTGAGAGACAGAAAAACACAAAGGAAATGGAAAATGCCTGAATTTCACTTCTGTGGCTACCCACTTGGTCAGGCAGATAAATTCCTCTTGAAACAAGACTACACGATGCCTTTAGAGTACTAGTCATCTGTATCTTTTAATATGTAGAAGTCACAGATATTTTCCAGTGCATCTTGTGCAGTAAGTTTAAACTGCATCAATAGCTATATGCATAGCTTTTCTTATTTACCTTCTTCATATGCTGAAGTAGTCCACAAACCTGTTAGGAAAACCACTGCTATATAATCATAAAATAAGGAAAAAAAGTAGTAATTTTTTTCATCATGTCCATAACCTTTGTAGATGACTTTAATGTGAAATTCTGTTTCTTTTGATATACCAGCTTAGAAAACTTTTTTCTCGTGGTTTTGATGTCTGTTTCTGTAGAACTAACTCTACCTGTTGTAGAATTTGGCAGACTGTGTAAGCTGCTAGTCTGCCAAGTACTATACCTGTAGATGTCTCTTACTGAGTAAATATGGTTGAAGATGTTAGTGGCACAGTCAATAGAGGATAGACTGTGTATTTTGGATGTACTTTCCAAGACTTCTCATGGCTCTAGCTCCAGCTGCTGCAGCAAGATTTTTAATGGAAAATTACTTCATGCGTCAAAATAATCTGGGCATCTGCTGTTCCTGCTCTGGCAGTATGGGAAAACCATATGTTCAGTTTGACTGGAGCTTTCTTTAATGTCTATAGCATACCTATTTCGGGTCTTTTTCAGCTTGTGTGATGTTTCAAGGATAGATACTAATATGCAGCAAGTGATTCTTACTCACTCAGCAGGAAACAAGCACTGCTGCTAGTCACCTTATGTTGAGGTAAAAAGCTGTATGTTGTCTGAATCTTGGGTATCTTACACTTTATTTTTTATTATTTATTATTATTGTCTACAGAGAGTAGAAGTTATGATGAATTAGAAACTATTTGAAAATGTAGGAAGGGATTAGAAGATACAAGCAGTATGATCAGTCAAGTTGTGTGGGTCTGGGAATTATTATTATTTTTATTAATTATCATCATCATTATTATTTTGATGTAAAGTATACTGCATTGCCTTGATCTGTTCCTTACCAGCCTTTTCTTCAGAAAAAACCTTAATGAAGAAGTTGTATTAGCAGGACCAAAACAATATTGCTTGAAGTCTAATTATCTTATTTCAATAGCAGGTTCCTCACCTAGCTCCAGTAGCAGCTCCTCTGTTAATCCAATGGCTTCTCTTGGAGCGTTGCAGACACTGGCAGGGGCCACAGCAGGCCTCAACGTTAGCTCTTTAGCAGGTAAGCTGTGTGTTGTGGTGGGTTGGGGGAAGAGCTGGTCATCATTCCTCAGGCTGTGCTAGTTTTCCTGCTCCCTGCTTTTTGTAATAGTACAGAGTATTTGAAAGGTAATTTATCTGGCCCAGTGGAAGTACTCACTCATCTTTATTTTCTCTTATACAGGAATGGCAGCCTTAAATGGAGGACTCGGCAGTGGTGGTCTCTCAAATGGGACAGGTAGCACAATGGAAGCTCTCACACAGGCTTATTCTGGAATCCAGCAATATGCTGCTGCTGCATTGCCCACCCTCTACAACCAGAGTCTTTTAACACAGCAGAGTATTGGTGCAGCAGGAAGTCAAAAAGAAGGTAGGCAAAAAGGTGTAGAAACAACTCAAGAGGGGTTTGCTCAGCTACCTTGTCTGCAGAGCTTTTATTTGGCATCATTTTTTAGAGTTCTAGAGTTACTGAACATAGAGAAGGAACATCTGTGAGGTCTCTATTAGGGGCTATCCACCATAATTCTCATATGGTAGTTTTCTCCCAGAATTTGTCTACTCTTAAGTGCTTAGGAATTGTACTCCTCCGCTTACCTGGAGTACAGAAGAGTGAGTCCGCAGCCTGGTGCATTTGTCAAAGAATCAGTTATGTTTTTGTGAACTTCATTTTCTTGGTCCTTCACTTCTTCCCACAGCTACATAACGCCAATCTCTTCAGATTCAGAATCTATTTAACATGTAGTATAAAGTAATGAAGAATGTAGGAGTACATTTTCAGCAGAATATAGGATGTTTAGAAAAGAACCTGTCAGATTACAAGTAATGCAATTACTTGTATTTTGTATTGAGATTTACTTAGTTCCTTTGAGCTGCAAGCTTTGCATAGCCATTTTAGTTGGCATCTGGGGCTCAAACTTACTCTTCAGCTTTCATTACAGCAGAGATCTGTGAACCAGTTTTGACACAATGTGGAAATTACACATAAAAACGGTGAGAAAGAGCTGGAATTATTTGAATGGTCAATCCCAGCAAAGGGTCATGCTGACTTACTCTCTTATCAAGTACTCCACGGAAGTGCAGACAGCAGTTTCATTGTTTTACCTAGAAAGTTTGGCTTGAATGGCTCTTTCACCCTTTTTGGTGAAGTGGGCCTATGTTATCCATGCTGTTTCTGAATTTCTATTCCTATTTGTTGTTTGAAGGTCCAGAGGGAGCCAATCTGTTTATCTACCATCTCCCCCAAGAGTTTGGGGATCAGGATCTGCTGCAGATGTTCATGCCGTTTGGAAATGTCGTCTCTGCCAAGGTCTTCATTGACAAGCAGACCAATCTAAGCAAGTGTTTTGGTATGTTGGGTCTAATCATTACTTGTAGAAAAGTGGCTTCTTTCTAGTAACCTCGTTTCCAATATATTGTTTAGTCTAGCTTTTAAGTCAAGTAGTGACTTTTTCTCTATATTCCTAAAAAATAAATCAATCTGAACTCTTCAAGCAATGAAACTCTATTTTCTCCCCAGTTATTGATTCCAGCTATTGACTGGAGTTATTTAAAATGGGTTCTTTCAAAACCCTGGAGAAGTTTATTTTTTTTCTGGAATTATATATAACTTTTCATCTGAGAGAAATCTAAATATAATGGTAAAAGTGCCATGCTGCCTTGACAGCTACTTCACTCCAAACAAATCTACTCCCATAATGTCAAGAGAGTGATTTCAGTCTTGTATCCGTAATGAGCTTTCATGTGTAGATTAACATTTTCCAAGCTTGGTGTTCTCTCAGATACGAGTTCTTATATATCAAACTCATTTTTGTGAGAAGACTAGAAAATGTTATTTTAATATCCTGAGCTTTGTGTATCTTTTGGCCAAATTTCCATACATGAGAAAGCAGTGCTTTGTCTGAGAGCCCTTTGGTAAGAAGTTCTTATGAAGAGTCTGCAACAGTTAGGAGCTTCTAAATGGCATTTCATGCAAACCTCTCTTATCTTGCGAGTACCTGCATTTCTAGATGCGAGTGCCTGTTCTGGAGAGCTTTGGCATGGCTTAATTATGGATTTTCCTTTCTTCAGGTTTTGTAAGTTATGACAATCCTGTGTCTGCACAGGCTGCCATTCAGTCAATGAACGGCTTTCAGATTTGCGGATTGGAAGGAAGCGTCTGAAATTACAGCTCAAGCGCTCTAAGAAGGACAGAAAGCCATACTGAGCGCCCCTCCCCTCCGGGACTGGAGTGAGAAGGATCTTCTGGTAAGTTGGAGAGGAGCGCACTTAGTGATTCGAAGCCCTAAGGCTGTGTTTTTACAGTCCTGGAAGCTGATCCATGCCTTCTATCTGGCACATCTTCCCCTGAAGACTCGGCTGCAGCCTCTGCTGAGAATCCCGCTTCGGATGGAGGACAAGTTTGTGCTTTTGTTTCCAGTGTTTTACTTTGGAGTTTAGGTGCCATATCGCTGAGGTGTTTCTTTTTTATTTTATTTTATTTTTTTTTTATCTTATTTTATTTTATCTTATTTTTATTTCTCTTTTATTTGAAGTTTGCTGTGTTTGTAACCAGTGTGTGTTGAGAAGGACCAATGCCAGCTCCTTGGGGGTGGGGAGGCAAGGTTAAAGGGAGCAGCAGAAACTGACACCACACTGCCTTGGGCTAGAGAGGAAAAGGGGGAAGCAGAACTGACACCACACCACCATGGGCAAGAGGAGAAGGGAAAGCAGAAATAACGCATAACAGCTGATGAGAACAAGAGATGGGGAAAGAGAATGAGTCCATCCAACTCTGGGTGAGCAAATTGACTCCATGTAGCCATTGTCATGCCCCATCCACTCTTCAAAATTTCCTTAATTGTATGCCATGGTGGGGGGTTAGTAAATCATCTCTAAAGCAGGAGACAGGCTAGGAGGGTGAACACATTAACAAGCCAAAGGAAAACTGCAGTGATTTTATTTTGCTGTATATAAAGTAGTGTTTATATAGCACTGTGAATGTACACAGCACTTTATAAAATTATTAGATAATATCCCTGCCCAGAAAATTTCACAGTCCATTTACCGTTGAATATTAATGAGATGCCATGAATTACTCCATATTTAAGCAAACTTATTCTGTGTACTCTATCTAGGTTATGTAGAAAGGTAGAGAGAGAGACAGCTTAGTCTGGATGAAAACATCTGGGGCTGGAAACAAGAAACTTTTGATCCATGGTAACCTACAGATTTTTTTTTTCGACATTTTTTCTTCTTAACAGTTCATCCATTTCTGTGGAATTCCCCATATTCTGTGGAATAATGTCCTTTTGCAGAGCATTACTTTGAATTCATTCTTAGAAGCATAATATAAGTGCTGTTCGTTTCTCTATTAAAATGACTTCAATTGACATACAAAGCCCAGAGTTACCCTAACATTGCTCTTGAGGTTCCTGTTTCATACATGGTGTTAGAGGATTTGATTTCTCAGTCTTAACTCTGTTGCAAAGGTAACTTCCTGTTGTGTTTTGTTTTCTAAACAATTTGTGCAGTGATTTGGTCTAGTAATTAGGTATTTATTTATACTGCAGTTTTCCTTTAAGGTGGTGTGTACCAATGCAAAACAGGCTAATACAGGAGCTGTGGAAGCAGAGCAGAGCATTGAGCCATTCAGTCTTATTCTGCCTTTTGGTACTAGCTGTTATCTTCTATATTGAAGGAAGACTGAACACACCCCTTCAATGAACACACACTTTCTCTGCACACTTGTGAAATTGCTAATGCGTTGCTAAGGGCCTTTGTTATACACTGGTTTTAGGGGGCTCAAAGGACTTTTGACACTCTGGCCTGAGTTATTTTAAGAAATCAAGAGTAGAGTCCCATTTTATAACCACCAAAATCCACCTCTGTCACAAGAGGAAGTTTACAATTTTTGTGTGTCTTTTAACAAGTTCCATTTACCTCATATTTTCTCCTTTTCCTTGTTTTATTTGTATTCCTGGTTCGTGATGCTGTTTCCCAGTTAACATTGCAGGCTGGGAGCCAGACTGTGCGTGGGTCAGATGTGGGGTTGAGACATCCTGTTCTGCTCCAGCAGGAGGAGCACTAAACCCATCAAAACCTAAGATCCCGTGGTCTGTTGGGAATGTCGATGGTCTGCTGGGAGTGTCGGTGTTCCCAGGGACAGGGCCCCTTGGGATCTCAAACCTCAAAAGTACGAGGCCTGACCTGTAGCATCCAAGAAGAGCCCTTTCCATTCTTAAATTGGAAATCAAACCGTTGATGCCAGTCTGTCTGTATTGATGGCAGACAGGAATCTATCAGTATTATTCAAATAATTTTGTGGTGGCAAAGGTTCAGAGGCCAGATTGCCAAATTTCCCAGTTATGCTGGCATGTGGTACCCTTCTATGTTAATTATTTGAATCTCTCTAGAAACGTGAACATACACTTAAGTGAACCATGTACACTTGAATTCTGCATGATGGGAAAGATGTGTCCTGGTTTTCTGAGAAAAGAGTGTTGGAGTGTGAAGGCCTCCAGGGTGATAATGAGATTTTTTTTTTAATATAAATAATATACTTTTAAAAAAAAAAAAGGAAAAAAAGAAAATAAAAAAAAAAGAAAATAAACCAACAACATATTTGGGAGCAACTGCTCCAAGTGCAACCTGCTGTAACCAAGAATGTTGTTTCTATTTTTATAGAAGTTTTATACTGCTCCAGGGTGGAGAATATTTATTACCTAAATTATTTCACTGGAAAAGACTAAAAAAAAAAATAATAAAAAAAGGCCAGGGTTTTGTAGAATCCTGAATGTGATTGTTTTACACACATAATGATGTGCATGATTGAAACTACTGATTTTCAGTGGCCTGTTTGCAGCCCAACAACTGCTAAATGGGGAAGACAAACGCTGTGAACCAGTGGAGGAGAGCACTGTGCTCTGGGGTCTCTACAGTCACTCTTACCTTCTTTGCGCCCTACCCCACTGTACTATCCAAGACCTTCGTCCTGTCTTTCTTTTAACCTGATGCTCTGGCCTCTTTACGAGTCATTTCAGTTGCCCAAAAGTAGATATTCTAGCTCTGCATCCTATATTGTGTCCTCAATACTGTACCTTATGGATCAAGCTTGGCATTGTTGCAAATAGGTGCAACTCCTAGTTACATTAGGAGATTGACCAGTTTACACTGTGGCTTAGTTTGATCAGTGACTCCTCCCAGACGTAATCACCTTAAGACACCTAACTTGGGCTAGCTCTTGTGCCTTACTGGCATAACTGTAAGTATTGCCAAAAAGAAGAAAAAAAACCAAACAAATCTATGCAGGTTAAATTATAAAAGGTGTGATCCTCAGATGGTCTGAATCAATGCAGTTCTGCTCTGTTCAGAAGAGCTGCATCAGTTTTCACCAGCTGAAGATGTTGCCCTTTTTGTGTATTTGTTTCAGATTTCCCTTTCCTGGTGTATCTATGTATATGTTGCCAAAGTTAATAAATGTATCGAGTTTGTGACTTGGGCAGATTTTTTTCTGATAACAGAACTCATCAGATAAAGTCAATATTTCTGTGTCTGTTTGGCTGCCACTGACTCTGGAGATATAGGCTCTTCTTTGCCTTCCAGTTTTAAGTCAGGTTTCTTCCTCACTCATTGGCAAGGAAGTCTGGGACTTTGGGGACTTGGGGCCTTTAAATTTTGTTGTATTTTTAATCCCTATCATGCTCTCATTCAAGTGCAAATCAAATCAGTGTCAAATGCTTTATATCCTGGATAGTAGGATAAGAGTTGGGTGAGTTAAAATGAACTGCAGAAGCGTTGGCTTAAGTAGCCACATGGGCAGAGTATTCTGTATGCTTATAAACCAAAGAATCTGAATTTTCTACAACAAAAGCTAGTAGGTCTTCTGATGAAATGGAATTCCATATTACATGTGCAACCAGGAAATACTTAGTATTTTTAGAAACAAGACAAAAACGGTCTGGTTCATAGATTTTTTTTTTCTCACATTTGTTTTTACTAGATATGCTATAATAAGATAAAAGTATTGTGAACAACTGAAGTCTTAGTCTGATGCCACTTAGTATCAAGTACTATAGTAAAGAAAATCAGTCTTCAGTCCCCTCAATAATCAACAGTCCAAAATAGGTTTACCTCTTTGTAGCTTAGTTTTTTCTTCCAGTAATACAAAACTTGCATTATTAGAAAATGCTTTTCATATATAGTGATTAAATTTTAATCCTAAACAGAATGAGGAGTGGAATTTTTCAGGAGTACCTGAGACAGTAATGGTGAGTATCTCTTTGTATTTTAATGGTGAGGCAGTTTACTAGCTATGGGCACTACTCACTGGAAAATAGGTGCCTCAGAAAATTTCTCCCTGGCAAATATATCTATAAGGAAAACACTTTTCTTTTGAATACTGAAAAGCACGTAGTATGATAGATTCTGCTTGCACAATAGAGTTAATTGAAGTGTTTCTTCTACTTAATGGTTGTGAGTTAGGGAAGAACAGCCAAGCAGAATGAAATTGTGCCATTTTGTTTAGAAATCTCTAAAAGCAATTTGGATAAACCAAATCTCAAATAAAGGGTGCAACCATGAACAACACATAAACCACACAAGAAGCTTTGAGAGCTGCTTGTTGCAAACATTTAAACATGTCTTCCACAAAATGTAAAACACAGAAGGCAGAATCATCACACTTGTGAGAATAAAACAAGGACAAACTGGAATAACTTTCCCCAAGTTACTAAGTTCTTATCCAGCATCTCATGGCTCTGCTCTTGCAGGCCAGTCCTTCCTCAGGGCTTTAATGAAACAGTCTTTCTCCTCAAAGTTGCTGAGTGAAACATTTCAAAAATCCCTATCAAAAAACCCCAACCAAATCACACAAAGAATTTCTATGGTACATGCTTAGATGTCACTTGATTTCATGCCTCAGTCAGTGATGAATTTGCCTTTCTGGTTTAGGATCCCAAAATGTTCCTTATCTCTTGCAGCTCACAAGCTGAGGGGAAGAAACAAAGGTATTGCTATCACTTAATATTAACAGTTACTTACAAAGTCTTCAAGAAAGCTTCAGGAAACACATTTTTTTCTACTCATCAAACTGGCAACAGTGACTGTAGAGCTTCTCAGAGCCCAGAATCCCCTCCTCATGAAGTCAGGGAGCTGGGAATGGAAAAATCCCTGTGTAGGCCTAATGGCATGAAAAGTGCTCAGCTAGGACAAGTCTTAACTTGCAGTCAAGTCTTAAGGAATTCTTTTCTAATATATGGAGGGTTTGTCATGTATAATTATTTACCCCTTCCCCCTTGTTCCAAATCACCCACCCCGGTTTCATGGGCTCCTAGGGAATGAGAAGGGACTGTAGCTGAAGGAAAGAACATGGATTTCCTGGGCTACTACTGCCTAAGAACTTCCCACGTTAGGGTGCAGGAAAAGTCTCAGCCGTCAAACCACCTGTGAATCCCTATGTCCTCTGTCTTGTCTCTCATGGTCTCAGTCTCTGTGGGCAGATGTTAGCCCTGGAGCCATATTTTTTTGGAGTTGGTCTCCTGGGGAGGGAGCTTGCTCTGTTCTTCTCCTAAACAGAGCTAGTGCAGACGCTGGGCACAGGGCAAGGCGAATGCATGCTAACCAATGTGCCACTGGGCTGTGGAAAGCTCCCCAGACTGGGCGTTGAGGGGGAAATCCAGGCCTCTGCTTCAATTTGGTTTCTGGCAGTTTGATGTTTACTTGGTGTCCTTCATGTACTTCGACTTTTACTTGTCCATCGTTGGCATGTGCTGCCCTTCCCTGTCAACTCCCTTCCCCAGGAGATCTCATTGTACAGTGCCCATTCTTGTTCTCTCTCTCCGTGTTTGGATGTACTGCTCTGTGTAACTCAGTGGGTCTCCCTCTTTCTGGTTTGTTTTTTTTTCTAGATTCCTGCCGTTTGTTCATCGTTGTGCCTAAAGCATGTCGATGTGGCGTTCAAGTACATCGTCCAAATCCTTGTCTCTTCAGCTTCTCTGATGCTTGAACTCTCACCTTTGACCTTGTGTTCACCTTTGATGCTGATGTGTATTTTTATTACGTTTGTTTCTTTCTTTTTTGGGTTTTTTTCTTTTTGTTTTGTTTTGTTTTTTCTTTTTGGTTCTATTTTATTTTCGTGCTGCCAAATTGGTTTTGCTAGAAAGACTGCTGCAGGGGAATATTTAAACTTGCATTTGAATATAAAAGAATTTCTATTTTTCTAGACCTTCGTAAGATAACCACTTGATTTTGTGAATCTGATTCTTTGTAATTGTCTTCAGAGCAGCCTTGCTAGCATACCTTGTGAGTATTTGTATTTCTGTGAACATACAGCCAATCACTTTCTAGGCTTAGGGTTTTTTCTGTGTGCTTAGTTGGGAAAAACCATAAAACACCACCGTTCCGAAGAGAAAGTCAATTCTATGGTGTGACTCGATCTTTCAGGAGACTTCCTAGTCACATTTTGCTGATCTGGTTTCTGTGCTTGAGGAGACAGCATGTGTTTTTATGAGTTCAAACTTGTGACTTGAGTGGCATCAGCAGAAAACACTTGAACTACATTTTCTTCTGATTGTAGCTACATTTTTTTGCCCTGACATTTATTGATTTTTTTTTTAATTATAATTTTTATTTTTTTCCCCTGCTTCCCTGTGTGATTATCAGTCTGCAGTGAAAATCTGATCAAAGTTGGTGTTGTATTTTGTTAAGCTCCAGCATGCTTGGGTTCTTTTTTGTAACTACAATCTCCTCAGCAAAATGTGATGTTTCTGTTTTAATCTTTCAGACTAAGATAGTGCCCAGAAATGTTTTGCATGTTTCCTGCTGTTTTCTTCACACCCTCCTATATATCACCTTCACCTCTCTGTTTTCTATAGTTTGTGCAAAAACTGAGCAATTTAATGGGTTTCAAAGGTATCCTTTAAATTGGTGTTTTTGGTATGACAATTATCTGATCAGAAGCCACCTGAGGGCATCTACCTGTGCACTTAGACTGTCTGCCTGACAGAGCACCTGGACCTTGCTCCATCTCCAGTGCTGTCAGAGGCGCTCAGGGGCTTGGCTGCACTGTTCCTGTACTGGAAGTTTTGGTGGAAGGAGATAGCTGGGGAGCAGGAAGGTGGAGGAGCTTCACAGTATTTCTCTTTCCAAAGTTATCTGAAGCTAGGCCTCCATTGAAACATCTTTTGTATCATTCAGGGCGTATTTATGTCAAATCCAGCCCCGGTTTAATACCATCAGTCAGACCTTGATGGCAGGATCCTGGAAAGGAGGATCTAGGTTAGCTCTTGATATCAAGTGTTGGAAATACCCTGGAGAAAGCATTTGTAAACCTGGTCCTACAACTGCTGGCTCTTTTCCCAAGCGACAAGCACAATACAACAGCCTCTGCAGCTGTTACCTGAACAGGGTACCATCCCCAGCTCTCTTCTCAAGGGCCTTAGCTGGGGAATCTCTCCGGAGATTTTTTACTTTTTGTTTAATTTTTAATTGGGCAATGAGCTAAGCAGGTTTTTTTCTGGCTTGCAGGATGAACTAGAACAGGTTACTGCTTTCTGGGTAGCAGGCTTTCCCCCTACCCTACGTACCATCTGCACAGATAGAAACTGGGATGTAGCTTCTAGATGAAGAGCGTGTACTGTGATGAAGTTTCAGTCAGAGGGAGAAGCAAGCTGGCGTAGGTATCTTAGTAGAAAATAATGTGAAATGAAATCCCAGGAGAAGGGGTTTTGCTGAGAAAACAAATCGTGTTTGATCGGATGGAAATCTTACTTTTGTCCAGTGTCTGGGAGAATGCAAAGATGCAGAAGGATTTCATTTCTGTCCTTCTCCTGAGCTGGCTGAGGATATCCTCAATAGATACTGGCCAGGCTTGTGGAGACAGTCCTTAAGCTGCTTGTAAGTCAGACCATGTTTGGATGTGGTACATACACCTGGGAGTGAAGCGTGAGGCTGGATGAAAAGAGGATAGAGCCTTGTTTATTTGGGAGGTAGGGTTGTGGGCTGGCTGCTGTTAGTCCCACAGTCTGAATGCACAGGGCTGTGTGTCAGTGGGGGGCACTGGTACCCTGCAGTGTATTGAGTAACTGCCAATACATTTCTGTACATGAGCATTTGGTTCCATAAGGAACTTTGGAGAAACCTGTGGAAAAACTATCTGAAGAAAACCAAAATGCCAAACGTTGGATGTTTCTTTCCTTTCTTCTTTCCTTTTCTTCCTTTGGTTGTTTTAATTGTTCTGTGGTGGTTTTAATGGATTTGAGACAGTGGAGCAGCAGCTGCCTTTCTGATTTTTGGCTGCTTTTTGTGAATAATTTAAAAAGAAAATTTACATTTTGGAGACAAACCTGTGGGCTTTTTTATTGGTACAAACATTGTATTTAACACTAGGGGTTTTGTACAGTTTTTTGCCTTTTCTACTAGAAAACAATGTAAAGTGATTCACAATGTGACGAGAAAACAAATTGCCACTATGACCAAATGTAGAGTCTGTTCTGCAGTAATGGGATTTAATCAACTCGAAGTCGTGGTTCAGTCGTAGAAATGCTTTTCTTTACCTTGTTTTGAGCTGTTCCTTTTATTATTATTTTCTTCTCTTGTTTTGATTTGCAAAACAGAAATGTCTTTTTTGTGTGAAATTGTGTTGTACTCTGTAGAGAATTACAGATTTTACTTTAATGGTTTAAAAAGCAGAGGAGCACGTGTTGCTCTTCTGATCCGATGGCAGAGTTTGTGTAGTGGATTTCAAGATGAAAAGATTTGTTACAAGTTTGGAACGAGCGAGTATGTGTTAAAGGAATTTTCTTCCTTTTGTGTGTGTGTGTTTTTGTTTTTTTTTTTCTTTTTTGTCCCAAAGGGCAACTTAAAGCTGTTTTAATTGCACAGACACACCGACAACAAGTCATTTTGTATATGCCAAGTGTGGTACCTTCCTTTGTTTATTTGCTATTAAACTGTTTGAGAAGAGTCCTTGTGTGTTGTATTTGTGTCTCAAACTTGAGGTTCTTTTTGGGTGGGAAGATGAGGAGAGAGATGAGAGAATCTTCCAGTTTCTTAGCTGTGGGCCACAGAAATCTTCATGGCCCAATACCACTTGTTCTGGATGTACAAGTATAGCCCTGAGTTGTAACCTTTATGGGGATGAGCTACTTTGAGTAGAAACGGGAAAGGTTTTTTGGTTGATTAGCCACCATTTTGTATCATTTGGCACTGTGTAGCCACTTGCCTGTCCATGCACTGTGCTTCATGGTGCTTCAGGGGCTAAATAACTTCAGTGTAACACCAGACTTCAGCTGTATAGGGACAGCACATGTGCGTGGTGGTGTGTGGGATTAGACGGGCACCAGCTCATACTGCTCCTCCCAGCCCCATACCCACCGCTGCCTCTTTACTTCTCTGCAACACGGCTAAGCTTGCTGAACCTGTCCTGGTTCTGCAGCGTGGTGGTATCTGCAGTCCCCAGTGCTCCCAGTCCTTGGAAATACTACACAGGGAAACCCCAAATGGGTTGGGATTATTTACTAAGCTCACGTTTTGTGATAAGCGAAAGTTACCTGCTTTGCTTTTAGAACTATGTTATCTAATCATATGAAATAAAATGAATAGGAAACAAATATTTGGCGTAGGCAAAGTGTAATCCATTTAGAAACTTGCCACGAGTTCGACACTAATATTGCCTCTCTCAGAAGGAAAGTACCACAATGGCCGTGACTGCCACATTTCTGAAAGCTCCTCAAATTCAGTGATGTTGCTCCTTCCTTCTGCTGTCTTGCATCTCAGAGACTGCGAGTGCTTTCAGGGCAGCGACGTTTCTCCTCTGTGTCCTTCTCCTCTGTTATCTGGCATACTCTGTTTCACCCCATTACTTCCTACATGATTGTAAATCTGAGAGCACTCGCAAGCATCGGGATTCAGTGCTGCATTCCTGTCCCTGCAGCGCACCAATTGCGATGCGAGGTGCTGAGCCATCTGTTGCGGAGTGTGCTGGGATCCCTGCAGCTAATTTGCAGCTGTTGAGAAGGGAGGCTGGGGAGATTTCAGCTCAGATATGTCTGAGGTGAAGGATGGAGAGAAACAATTGAGTCAGAAAAAGGGGCTGTTCAGGCAGGATAGAAGATTGTTGCTTATGCAAGCAGTTGGCAAGACTTATCTTACACAAAGCTGTCAGCTGTATCTTACAGAACTGACACTAGATCCCTCTGGGGAGGTGTATCAAGAGTCAGAGTATTTATCTCTGAAAATAATCAGCGTTTCACATGAGTTGCATTTATCAACATCAACAGGAAAGACACAAGCCTGTAGATTAAGTCCTGATGTTGAATGTTTTAGGAGAAATAGTTTTTCCTCTCCCATCCAGCTCCACCTTTCACTACTTGTTTTGACCCCAGTCTCCAATCGTCCTGACTTTACCAGCCATGTTCTGCTGTCTTCATATGGCCAGGAGTCACCGGGATACATTATGAAGACCAGTGGGGAGGAGGACAAGCAGCTCAGTGTGGTCACTCTGAAGAAGTGACTGTGTGATTAACCACACTGTGTGTATAGCTCCACTGCATGACAGGTGAGATTCCCTAACTTGGTGTTTCCATGCACCTTGCAGGCTTACTTATTTGCAGTTCCTGAGAAGAAACTGTGGATCATTTACTGTAGAAGCCATACTTCAGTCTTGCATGAACTAGAGCTACGTTGAGCCACAGACTGATGATCCCTCTGCCATTACTCTCGAAGCAGCACAGGTAGTCAGTGTCTTGGTGATTCTACCCATTTACCCCTCCTTATTTAGGCAGCTGCACTGGGCTTGGGGTGGGATGTTCCATACCAAAAGTATACTTCTGGTTTCTGAAAATGACTTAATATGAGCTTGATGGAGCTCAACCTTATTTTACTAGGATAAGTTTTTATCTCAGTAGGTGAGTTGTGAGTTGATTCCTAAGAGACTAAGCACAGTTTCACAGGAGAACTCGAAAGCAAGAACACTGTTATCAACAGAACGCAGGACAGATCATTTCCCTCCTGTCAGATGGGTTTGTCAGACTGCAATGCATCCTCTTCTCAGTTTGCCTTCTCCTTG